AAGAAGCGTACATAGAGGCATACATATGTACTTACAATATAAAAGGCGAGAGAGAAAACTGTTTACAAAATCGATTTTTATTGGGCCGCCAACAAATAGAATTTAGCACTTGAATTGCCTTTGTTTGATGTTATCGCCTGATAAGACCCCGGATCACATCGCACTATTCGAGGCGGGGACTACGTATTTCTATACCCTGACTAATGATAATTATGGTGCACAGATAGGAAAGTATTCTCAACCTTGTAAAGCGTATCGAAGTTAATATTATGTATATAGATGAGAGCCCTGTAGGGGTCAAAAAAACTATCATAATATCATAACATAGAAAAGTTTTTTGGATATTCCCTATAAATACAGGAACGATCGATGAGCAGTAAACATTATTTATCAATTAAAATCAGCTATCAATCTGAAAGGGTATTTGAAGCTTCGGGTAACGGAACCTCTTATTTTCTTCTAGTTTTTGTTGTTGTCGCTTCTTAACAGTATGCAGTGTGCTGTCCGCTTAGTCATGGGCTGGGCGAGGGTTGGGGAGGGCGTGCATGATCATAGCTGAGGAATTTCCTGTTGACAATTTCATTATATTTTGAAAGCGCTGATGGACTCCCATGAAGTATCCCTAACGCTGGAGTTTCCTCAACACAAAAAATCCAACCGCTGAAGTATACCTTATTTTGTGCTGGCAACATCCTTGCCTGTCCGCTCGCCTGTTATGGCTCTCGCTGCTCCCTTCCACAGACTCCTGATTTCACACTCCCCGCTTCTCCCTAGCCCCATCACTCTCATCTGGCTCGTCTGATCCCTCACTCTCTCCCGCTCCCTATCAGCCACTGGTGGCGTGTGTGTGTGTGTGTGTTTGTGTGGGCTTATTCAAACGCAGACAGCACGGCGGCAGCGTTGGTCAGGCCCCAACCTTAGGCCCTCCTTCAGAGCTGCCCTGCGCCCCTCCGCAACACCGCTCTAACAGCTCTACCCCTTCGGAGCCCTACAGTCTCGCCCGATCAGAGATCATAAGTGCCCCAGCACGTCGTTTGGCTCTGTGCGTTCGTCTTCGTTGCTGACTGCCGCCGCGCCCTTTACCCTTTTCCCTTTCCCGTTTACCTCTTTGGTTTTTGTATACCCTATTGTAAAAGAGGTACTATCACTTGGATTGGGTATTTGAAGCGCAAGACAAGTAAAAACTTTGTAAAAACTATGAATAATCGGATGGAAAAATGACTATACCAGCCAATAGATCAAAACGGAATAACTTATATTCTAGGGAACGAGCGATCTGCAAGGGTATATAGAGCTTCGATCATCGTCATAAGCCTAACTATTTTGTTATTTTTGTTTTCAACTTTTTAATCAATTCATGGGCCTGTCGGTCCGGCCGTCCGTGCGTTTGTCCGTCTGTCTGTCTGCCAGTCTCCCCATCCATGTGTGTTCCGTGGGCGTCTGTGTGTGCATCTATTGTGTGTATGGGTTCTCCGATTTTTATACCCGTTACTCGAAGAGTAAATAGGGTATATTGTATTTGTGCGTATAACGTTTGTATGTAACGCACATACGGAAACGTTTCCGACCCCATGAAGTATATATATTCTTGATCAGCATCAATAGCCGAGTCTATGTCTGTCTGTTTGTCTGTCCGTCCGTCTTGTTGAGCGCCTGGATCTCAGAGACTATGAAAGCTAGAGCCACCAAATTTTGCATCCATACTTCTGTATGCTCACAATGTTACAAGTGTATTTCAAAAATGAGCACCGCCCCCGCAAAAGGGCGAAAACCTCCCAAACCTACATGACCATATCTATCAGATCACCAAATTGGGATCCGATTGGACTATTATTGTAGCCAGAATGAAGAAATTAATTTGCAGTGGCTAAACACATCCCGTCCCGCACCTTATATTTGTTTTTTTCATATTCTCTCATTCACAATCTGCTTCTACAGTGTGCGGCATCTGCCTCTGCCGCGTCTCTGCCTCTATCATGACTCTGCAGTGTGTGGCTCTAGGGAAGGGGGGCGAGCTAAAGGAGCGTGTTGGCGTGGGAAGTGTTTTAGATTTAGATGACAGATGAAGAAAATATTTAAAATTTTACAAAAACCGTGAGTGCCGGGTATAAAAGTTGTGACGCGTAAGAAGCGTCTCACACGTCCCTTCTCGTTTATATTCAATTTTTATCTCGTTGCCTTCGTCTTTTCCGTTGGTTTTTTTACCTCCACTCTTTTTATTCTGCTTCTTCTTCTTCTTCTTAGTTTTTTTGTTTTGTTTTTGATAAATCGATTTAGAAGCCGACGGGGTCTAAAAAAAGTGGAATTCTTTTGATTTTCATTTTCAACACACACACACACACAAACACATGTACAACTTCTTCTGCTGTTGAAGTTTTTGTTGTATCTTTAATTTTGTTTTCGGCACATTTTCGGTTGATTTTTGGATGTTTTGTTTTTACTGGGAAATGCATTTTAAAAGTATTCTTTTTTATCCAGGCGCTCCACTGTCACAGGCTCCAATTCCACACCATTCTATCCCACTCCACTGCCTTCCTGCGCACCAGAACCAAAACCACCATTCCATTTCTTTCCAGACAATGCGTCGTCTTCGTGGCCCTGCCTACCGCTGGTGAGGATGGGGTTAAGGCATAGTGGGCTGCAGGGGTGGATGCACAGTGGGATGGGTGGTGCCACTGATTTGGGCGGCGAGTGCAGTAACAGTGGAATTGTAGAATGGAGAGCGGGAGTTCATGCACAGTGGGGTGTGGGTTGTGGTTCAGAAAACACCTTATCATAGCGCGACATGAGAATCTTTTCCATGTTGAACAGTGTAAAGCTCTGCTCTTCGTAAGTGATGGGGCATGAGCCAGAGATCTATCATCGGTCCCACCGCAGCCATCGGGCAGAAGAGGGATGAAGTGAGTCAATGCTATCATTGGCATATCCATTCATCTCGCTCGCTCCCCCTTTGGGATATAGCACGCGCAGAATGATGTTGAAACACTTTTTTATATCATAATTTTAGCTGGATTTATGAATTTGCATACACACGCAACCAAAATCGGCCCACTGTCGGGCAGCTTCAGTGGCAGCCTCCGCACACCAAACTCGCACACACACACACACACACACACACACACACACACACACACGGGAGAAGGAGAGGAAGAGAGATCTCTGCATATGTGTTTCATTCATGAATTCCAGTTGACGACGACGACGACGACGACGACGCGCAGATTTCTGTGAAAGAAGGAGAAGAAGTAGCAGAGGCCGAGGAGACCTTTTTCGTTTGTCATTTGCAACAAGTGCGGGACTTCTCATCGTTTTGGTTGCTGGCTGCATTTATTGCATGGCTGCTGCGTGGCTATGCCCTTTTTTTGTCTTTGAGCTTAGACAGGGTGGCGGCTACGGCAACGTCGACAGAAATAAGCTATCGCTGTATATGTAATGTATGTGTGGGTAAAAATGTATGTGCATACGTATGTATGCACCCACGGCCGCCAACAAAAACTGCTGTACATATAAAAAATGCAACGCTGTTTACTGCATTCAACAGTTGATTCTCAGTGAGAGCGAGAGAGCGCGCTAGGCTGTGAGAGAGCGGCGCGCAAACGAGAGACAGAGAGAGACATGCGCACCCCCACCCCCCCTTTGGACCGGTAATGCTCAACAAGTTCATTTGACGATCTGTTGCGTCGCTCTGTCGCCTCGTCAGTCGTTGTCGCCCGTGTGGGTTGTTGTTGTTAATGGTGGAGTGGGTTGCGCCGGGGTAGGCGGGACGACATAGAGCACACTCGGCACTCGGCGGGGCCCTAATGCCAGTGCCAGTGCCAGAATGTCTGGCAGCCACGACTCTGGCACACACTTAGGCAGTCACACATTCGCACACATATCATAGTCATGTGTGTATATGTGGATGTGGCTGGCAGAGAGCAAGCAGCAGCACAAGCAACCGCAGTCCAGCAAACGTGGTGCGCTGTCGTCGCAGCACAGTGGGGCGAATGCCAAATAAAACTTTTGAATTAACACAAGCAACGTTTTTGGGATATTTGAAGTTTATTTTCAAAATAATGCAATTAATTGTAGTTAAGCATTGTGTTTAGCAGTAAAAGCAAACAGAACCCGGTAGTCTTGTTCGTACATGCATATGTGTTCCCACTAAGCCAATGCCCTTGCCTAACTCCTCTGCGCATGTCATTTGCTCCACGGTGCGCTTGTCGGGTTAGTCAGAGAGGCGACGACTGCGTCGCCAGGGGGGCTAGCCACGGTTATTGTTGATGTAGGAGGAGGGGCTCGGTGACGGGGTAGTTGGTTCCGTCCCCTTCTGTCCGTTCCGACCGGGGAGCAACCAGCAGCGCGCTCACAAAAGCGCCGCGCTGCCGTGCCGACAAGAACGGGTATTGGTACGGGTCTCTCTCATCCAAAGGCACACGTTTACACAGATACACACTCATACAGTGGCGCAGACACCTCGCCGACGATTGTCGTCAGTTTGTCTGCAACGCTCAGCGCCGTGGTCTTGCATTGTTGTTGCTGCAGCATATTGGAACTGGCTCTGGGCTCTGGCTCCTCCGCCGCGCCGTGAGAGAGGAGAGGCGACCCTCTTGGCCACCGCCGCCGCCAAGCCAAGTGTCTGCTGACACTCGTTCTCACTCACGACGACTCGTTCTCACTCACAAACACATGCACACACAGGTGCTGTTGATGAGCTATTAGAACGCAGATACAAAGATACACACAGACACACACACACACACACACCCACCCGGTGAGGCAAAAGGCAGGCAGCAGACCCAGACTGAGCGTCGTGAGTGTAGTGTCGTGTCGTCGTCTCGTATCGCATCGTTCGCCCGTTTCATTTGGTTTCATTCTGGTGTTCCCGGCCGCCTGTGTGCGCGTGTGAATGTGAGTGTGAGTGAACAGCAAGAGCCATAGCGTAGCCGTGGCAGCAGCAGCAGCGCAACGCCGGCAGAGACATCCGCCGACATACACAGCAGCGAACTGCCGCCGAGCCGAGCCAGTCTAGAACGTATCTTTGAAGTAGAACGCTGAGGGCAGAACAATTGTGTTTTGGATTCCTTGCCGTGCGGATCGCGAGTTATGAAAGCGCAGCAGCAGCAGCAGCAGCAGCAGTAGTAGTGGCAGTAGCAGTAGCAGCCATAGCCATAGCCATATAGCAGCAGCAGCAGCAGCAGCACTCGAGCAGCATTCAAAAAGAACAGCAGCGAAACAGCTCAAAACTGAAATCCAAACTCAGAAACAGCGCCATCGTCGTTCGAGCAGCACGCAGCAGCAAAAAGCAAAAAGCAAAAAACAAAAATAAATTATAAAATAACTATACAAAAACAAAAAACAAAACAACAGCTAAACACTATCTAACAAAACTGCTGAACGCGACCAACGGCTAAAAACGTTCATCTATAGTTTCTTGTGTGAAATCAATATAACTATTATTTTTTTACTGTGTGTTTTTTTACGGAACTTTTTCCCGCGTGTAGTTAGTTGTTGGCTTACACACTCTGTGGGTTAACCTGTGTGTGCGAGAGAGCGTACCGAACGGACGGACGTCGCTGTCAACGTGAACGTCGTTGTTGTCGTCATCGTCATCGTTGTCGTTGTCGTTGTCGTTGACGCAGTCTCAGTCGCCGTGGGCGCCTTAGGCCAGAGCAGAGACCAGGGCTGCCGGATCGCGAGTTATGAAAGCGCAGGCGTCGCACGCATGTAGCAGCATTGGCTACAACAACAAAAGCAAAAGCAACAGCTCCAACACCAACACCAACAAAGCCTTCTGATACAATCAAACCCATATACAAAGTAACTGGAAAGCAAGAGAGAGAGAGAGAGAGAGAGAGAGAGCGAGAGAAAGAGAAATATCTATATTTTTGATAGAAACCGTTTTACACGAGCACCGAGCACCCAAAATCAAACAAAAATGGATACCAGCGAACAAAGTTCGATCATCAATGGATCATCGGGAGTGGGAGTGGGAGCGGGAGCGCAGAAGCGACAATCGCAGTCACAACAGAAGGATCAGTCGGAGCCAAACAACAACAGCTCCTCGGGCAGCCCCAAAATGGGCTCCCGGCGCATCTTCACGCCTCACTTTAAGCTGCAGGTCCTGGAATCGTATCGCAACGACAATGACTGCAAGGGAAACCAGCGGGCCACAGCACGCAAGTACAACATCCATCGACGCCAGATCCAAAAGTGGCTGCAATGTGAACCCAATCTACGCTCCTCGGTGGCAAACAATCAGCACCAGCAGCAGCAGCAGCAGCAGCAGCAGCAGCAGCAACAGCAGCAGCAGCACCAACAGCAGCAGCAGCATCATCAACAGCAGTCGGTGTCCCCGACACCTGGACAGGTGAAGGCGCATCAGTTCCACAATTTGGACCATCCGCTGGTCCATCAGATGCATCACCATCATCATCTACACCATCATGCCGCAGCGGCTGCAGCAGCAGCGGCGGCTGCAGCGGCACACCATGCCCATCATCTGCTGGCAAATGGATTCGCTGCCGCCCACCATCCGCACCAACACCAGCATCCGCATCCGCATCCACATGCGCATGCGCATCCGCTGGCTGCCCATCCGCATCTGCATGTGCCTGTGGCGGTGCCCGTGGCCGTGCCAGTGGCAGCAGTGCATCCCCACCAGCAACAGCAACAGCAACAGCAAGAACAGCAACAGCAACAGCAGCTTCCAGCAGTCGCCAACAGCAGCAGCAGCAGCCTGAGCAATGGCAGTGCCACAAGCAATGGCAGCAGCAGCCAAGGCTCCATCACATCCGGTGGTGTCCTGTCGGCGGCCAAAATCGTGGCCGTTGTTGCCGCAGTAGCCATGGCCAACAACAGCACAAGCAGCAGCAGCAGCAGCGGCAGCGGCAGTGCCTCCACAGCGACGCCAACGCCATCAGCCATCAGTGCCAACCCATTGCCATATACCCAGAGCAGCGGCAGCAGCAACCACAGCCCCAGCGCTGCCAATATCCAAGTGCCAACGCAAGTGCCAATCGCGGTCTCCCCGGTGGCCAGCCACATTCCACACCCACATGCCCATCCGCATGTCCATCCCTATGCCGCTTATCACACCTACCTGCCGCACCATCACCATGCCCTGGCTGCCCAGCTTCAGGGAGCGCAGGCCCAGCCATCGTCAGCGGATCATCACCTTGTGCAGGGTCGCCTGGAGGCACCACCCACTCCGGCACCCATGGATCTGTCGCTGGGCAGCTCCGCGCGCCGCCAGCAAAAGCTCGAGATGGAAATGGAGCTGGAGCTGGAGCACCATCGGCCGCGCACTGCTGCCGGAGTGGATCTGACATTCAGGAAGCGCAAGGTGAGCAGCACGCCAGTGCAGCCCGACAAGATCAGCAAACTGGAGACGATCAAGTGCGAGCCGGAGCCGGAGCAGGAGCCAGAGCAGGAGCCAGAGCAGGAGCAGGAGAGCGAGGATGTCGATGTCGATGTGGAGGTCGAGGCTGAGGCGGAGCATGAGCGCAAGCTCCCTTCCAAGCAGGTGAAACTCTTCAAGCCATATCTCCTGGACGACGATGATGATGCCGCTGCCGCTGCCGCCGCCGGTGCTGGGCATTCGGAGGAGACTGATGAGGTGGATGTCCACGAGGATGAGGATGATCACATTGTCGAGGACGACGATGATGAGGCGGTCGAGGGCGATGCCGATGAGGATCAGCACGAGGATCGCAATGGCAAGAAGCAGCAGCGTCGCCTCAAGAAAAACAAGAAGGTGGGCGAACAGCGGGATCCCATTATCTGGAGCAATCATCCGTATCCGGCCTGCCTCTCGCCCTCCCCTCACGCCCACGCCCACGCCCGGAGCTCGCTCTCCGGCAGCAGCAGCTTTCAGTCGCCGCTGGTCATGCACCTGCAGGCAGCTTCGAATGGCAGCGGTAGCGGCTCCCCGGTGTCCTGCCAACTGCAGACATTTCCCGGCCGGAGTCCTCAGCACCAGTTTCAGAGCAGAAGCGCCAGCAAGACATCCACCCCCATCCAGAGCGTCCTCAGCCCGTTCTCGGCACCAGCCCTCTCCCCCACCGGCTTCTGCTGCCCCAAGGGCTCACCCGTGTCCGGCTACGAGAGCAGCTCCTCCACCTACAGCGACAGTGCCAGCAGCAGCAGCAGGAATTGCGGCGGCGGCACCACCACAGGCAGCGCCAGCGCCAGCAATTTCAGCCTCAATCTGCAGCTCCATGCCGCCGTCTACAACGACAATCTAATGTACATCCAGCCGCAGCATCAGCAGCAGGCGCACCTGCAGCGCTGGCTGGATCAGGATGCTTTGGCCGCTGCCATGGCCGCCAGCAGTCATCATCCGGCGGTGCAAGTGCTGCAGGCAAGGCCAACATCCAACACGGCAGCCTCGGCGGCAACCAATCTGACATTGGTGGCATAAGCAGCAGCAACAGATGGAGGAGCAGCGGGTGTGCGTTGCTGAGATCCCACCAAGAAGTTATGGCAGTCACTGGGCCTGGCCTTCCTAGCGTTAAACAATTACCATTTAATATAAACATTTTCTTTATGAGCTTAAGCGAACGTCGTTCTTCAGTTATTTGCTAAGAGGATGGGATCCCACATCCTCGCTCCCCCCATCAAATATATATCATATATCTTCCAAGCATATCAAAACCAACCCCCCCCCCCCCCCCCCCCCCCCAACCCCCAAAAAACTTCCCCCCTAAAACACCATTTTTTCTCGTTATCTTCAACATCACAAATCACTCCAAGTAATTCAAGACCTATTATT